AAAAAAAAATTGAATATTGAGTGAGTTTATTGACTGAACCTGACGCGTTTTCGTACTGGTCGAGGAGTTGAGTCCAAAGATGATCTTGCGTCACTCGATGGAGCCCAAGATGATGATCTGCGTCTAGATGGTCCAGGTTGCGGTGACCCGAGTGGATCAAGTCCGATCTGAAATTCTGATCAGGCGTGTTACGCCTCTGCCTTAGGTTTTTTCCACTAGGGTTTCTCCGCCTTCCATCATTAGGCATTAATTAAATTTTAATTTTTTTTTTTAGAGAAAAAATTAGTAACTTCCTAGCCGGGAATCGAACCCGGGACCTCCCAATGTCGCGTCGGGTGCTCTTACCATCTGAGCTACCAGGACACTTACGAATTTCATTCTCAAATTGACTCATACCCGAGTGGAAATTCTGTTCAAGTCTTGATCAGAAACTGATCAAGTCCGATCCGAAATTCTGATTAGGCGTGTTACACCTCTGCCTTAGGTTTTTTTCCACTAGGGTGAGGCATCTGGTGTCGTACCAGGGGTCGATTGTTCTGACGACGGTAATAGAGTGTCGTCTGAATCGTTGTCGTCATCCGGCAAGTCAGCGTCGGCTGCTTCGTCTTCGGCAATGGAAAATACTGGCTTCAGACGGTCAATGGATACGACAGTTTCTTGAGCATTGATCTAGACGACGAAATGCTTCTCGTGTCGCGATATGACACGATGTGGTCCTTCGTACGGTGGCGTAAATGCATGATGAGCAGCATCTAAACGAACAAAAACGTGCGAACATGAGGCGAGTTCTTTAAATACGAATACCTTACGTTACTGCCGGTAGGCCATTGTTCGGAGCAGGAGCGAGAAATTCTCCTGGTAATCGAAGTGGCTCTCCAAATACGATATCGGCAGATGTGGCGTTAAGATCGTCTTTCCACGCTGAACGAATTCCAAAAAGCACGGTGGGGAGGGTATCTACCCAATGAGGACTCTCGTGACACCGTATTGCTGCTTTGATTTGGCGATGTAGACGTTCCACCATGCCGTTAGCTTGCGGGTGAAATGCCGTCGTGCGAATATGTCTGCTGCCTGTACTTCGAGCGAGAGCGTTGAAGAGTTGGCTCTCGAATTGTGTCCCTTGATCTGTCGTGATCCGAAGTGGAACGCCATAACGACAAATCCAGTTTGCGTAGAGCACACCGGCAACAGTCTCAGCGGTAATGTCGGGAATCGGGAATGCTTCTGGGAAACGTGAAAATCTGTCGATTATTGTCAGGCAATAACGGTAACCTCAGGACGGTACATATGGTCCGATGATATCGACATGAATGTGTAGGAAGCGTCTTGTTCTTCCCCCGGGAAAGTCTTGAATCGGCGATGCCACATGTCGTGAAATTTTATTCTTCTGGCATGCGAGACATGCACGAGTCCAAAGACGACAGTTTTTCTTTAAACTCGGCCAGACGAAACGTTGAGCAACCAGCTGAGTTGATGCGTTAGCCCCTGGATGACTGACGCTATGCAGAGTATCAAAAACTCTCTTACGTAGCGGTAATGGTACATAGGGACGAATCAGCTGATCGTTGACGTCACAGTAAATTGGAGTTGGACTCTCTGGCATGTTGATAGGTCGTAGTTGAAGGACGCCATTCGGGTCTTGCAGACGTTCTTGGAGTTCGGCATCTGCTGCTTGTGTCTGTGCTAGTTCGGCCGTCGAGATTGCTGTGGATATGGCTTCGATTCTCGATAAGGCGTCGGCAACAACGTTATCTTTACCTGCGACATGCTGAATATCTGTTGAAAACTGACCAATAAAATCGAGGCGATGGAACTGCCAAGGATTTGCTTTATCAGGATTTTGTTTGAAAGCATGCAGCAGCGGTTTATGATCAGTATAAATGGTCACGTGACGACCTTCAAAAATGTGCCTGAACTTACGAACTGCTTCATAAATTGCGTGGAGCTCTCTGTCGTATGGGCATCGCTTCCTCAGGGAAGGTTGAAGCTTCTTACTGAAGAAGGCGAGCGGCTCCCAGACGGTACCTCTGCGCTGTTGAAGAACGGCGCCGATAGCAAATTCGGACGCGTCGGTAAAAACAGCCCACGGTAGTGACGTATCTGGGTACACTAACAGCGTTGCATCTTGCAGTTGTTTCTTAGAGGCATTGAAGGCGGCTTCTCCTTCTGTAGTCCACGGAACTGGATGAGACTCTCTTACGTTAGAACCTTGAAGAAATTCGTGAAGGCGTGCCTGTGTTGTTGCAGCACCTTTAACACATTTCCGATAAAAGTTAATCATGCCGAGAAATTCACGTAACTTCTTAATTTTCTCTGGTCGAGGAAAGTTGACGATAGCTTCAACTTTTTCGGGAAGCGGACGAATTCCTTCCGCCGTTACACGATAACCGAGAAAGTCGACTTCTGGTTCTCCGAAATGGCATTTGGCGGTATTGATGACAACTCCATACTCTGCCAAGCGTTGAAATAGGAGACGA